TAATAATTTATATTAATTAAAATATAATATAAATAAATAAATAAAAGAAAAGAAAATAAATAATATATATTAATTAATTTTTTTTAAATAATAATAAAATAAAAAGTAATAATAACAAAATGACAAAAAAAAAAACAAAAAACTATAAAAAAAATATGATTCAAACCTACTTAGGGGTGCCAATGGCAATTAGGGGTGCCAATGGTAATGTATAGGGATGCCATTAGCCTACCCCATGCCAATATACACAACAAGATAAGTACTTAATAACATAATCCTATTGGGTCCCACACAAAGTTCAATTAATGTAAAAGCAAGAAACAATATTAGAGTAATTAATGAGCTTTTAATTAAAGTGTTAATTAATTACTAAAGGGACTAATTAATTATTAGTCTAAACCTTTTGTGGACTTTAGTTAGAATGGGTCGTGGCCCATTAGAATTAGAGTTTTGAGATTGAGCTTTATATAAAGCTAATTTTTTAAACCTAATTAGCTAAGAATTGTTTACGGCCGCTTTCTCCTCCCTCAAGACCTAAAATTTGCGCCTATTCTAAGAGGTAGCCTAAATCCTTTCATACACAACCATAATCAGATCAGGGTGTGAGGTGTGTTGGCGATTTGCACGAGAAAAGAAAGGAGCTTTCTTGCTGTTTATGAACAATTAGAGCTCTGGGGTGTGAACACAATAGAAAAAATCCTACTATTGGATTTTCTACTTCCATCTAAAGGTATTTCTAATCACCCTCTTTGTTTCTTTTTGTTACTTGTATAGATTTGTAACCAGATCTCTGGAAGGTTGTGATTCTGTTGTGTTTGTTTCCGTTGTTTTATTTTATTGTATGATTTTCGGATTCTATCACAACCCAACAGTGGTATCGGAGCCAAGTTTACAATGTACAAGTACATGTGTAATCGTTTTTTTATAATTGTTTTGGGTGTGTTGTTGTACATTCAAATGGAAAAATTAAATGTATAAAACATGTACGAATATTCTAAACTTTTTCTAGTGGTTTTAAATGTTTCTACGCAAAAGGTTTTAACTTTAAAAAATTAAGTTTATTTTAAACTTTTTTTTTTCGATTTAGGGTTTTAAGAAGGGCATAGATCTCAAAGTTTTGAGATTATTGGTTTTAAATCCTAAATTGGGGTTTTTCAAAATTAAAGTTTCCTTTTTTGGAAAGGTTATATTTTGAAACTTAGAATATTTAAAACTAAAAAATTTATAATTCTAGGGTTTTGAAAAAAAAAACTAAGTTTTCAAAATTTCGAGAAAATCGTGAAAATGATTTCTTTTTCTTTTGTTGAAGTTTTATTTTTGTGTGTATACCCGGATCTTTGATTCACTTGATTATTGTGTTTGGATGGTTTTGTCATAAAAAACATACACACATGAATATGAAGTGTGCGTGTTTTACACAAGCAAAGATTGATTTTGAAAGTGCCAAAATTGTATGTTATAATCAATCTTTATCAAAGTGTTATCGCTTGTGTGGATCTGGCACTCCATTGTTTTGTTATACAAAATTGTGTTTGTATGGATCTGGTAATAGTTTGCCTCTATTAGACCTATATGATGTGATGATTTGGTTGTTATTTGGTTGTTTTTTTAATGGTTGTAATTTTTGCGCGACCTGCGAGTTGTTTTCTTTTCTACATATTTGTAAAATAGTATAGAGTAGATTAGAAGCTTTTTTTAATTACAAATTGTAAAAGAAGACCAAAGACAAGAAACAAGATTCATGCAGATTGAAGTCTTGGCGTGGAAGTCGGCACATCATTTTGGATGTTAGTCCCTTAGTTTGACCATGTTTTTCTCATGGTGGTCACGGGAAAAAACGCATAGATTTGAGGCAAACGTTACCGTTGCTTGTGGTTGTGTTTATTATTTTTGTATGTTATCTAAGTATTGCATGCTATATAATCTTTTATATAATTTGAAACACAACAAAACCTTTTAAGAGTTGATAAAACTTGCAAGTGTATTTTGGCAAATTAATACAATGAATTTTACTATAAAGTTTTAAAATGGTTAAAACGAAATTTGTTAAAATAAAACGGTTAAAAATGTTTTAACTAAGAAAAACAAAAACCCTTTTTTAACGTAATTCACACGCTATCCATTTAAGACAGGCATTTGAACTAATAGTCTTTCTGTGTGGGGGAAGGTCTAGAGCCAACGCGTCGGTTAAACTTTAGGAAAAATATTTGTGACGTCCGCGATACCCGAGAATCTTGGGCCAAATGTCATGTGTCTTAGTATGATTGATTTACAACCTGAACTTGTGATCCATAGTAAACCTATCACGAGAAAGGATAAGCATGGAAGGGATTAAACATGTCAATTGACATAGTGGATGACAATAAATCCCTCAAGGATCTAAGAACTCCATAGAGATTGAATTGGTAAAATGGTTACCTACGTAAATAACTTCTAGTTGCGATCCGCGGCAAACCCATCGTAGTTAGGAGTGAAATATGGATCTTAGCCTTGTTAAAATTAATTTTGGGTAATTATTTTAAATAAGGATTGCTTAATTCAAGTCACTAAAATAATTTCTTTATATTTTGATAGATGTCAAATAACGCAAATTCGTCAATTTCAAATTTTTGTTTGAAAGGTCTCCTCGAAGAGGACAAGCTCACAGGCTTGAATTATATGGACTGGCTTTGAAACCTGAGAATAATTCTCAGGATGAAGAAGAAAAAAGAGTCATAGAGGAACCACTCCCTGAGGCACTCGCTACCAGAGCAACTCAGACGGTTCGGGATAATTATGAAAAACGTTTGACCAAATCGAACGAGGTCACTTGCCTAATATTGGCGACCAAGATTCCATAACTCCTAAGGCTATGGAAAGTCTTGGGCATATGACATGAATAACCAGGTAAAGAAAAAGTTCTAGCAGCAGGCTAGGCAAGAGCGATTCGATATAGTTAAGGCTCTGACAGGTTGCAAAATGGCCCCA